ATGGATGAGTGGGTGGATGGATGGGTGGATGGGTGGATGGATGGGTGGATGGATGGATGAGTGGGTGGATGGGTGGATGGATGGGTGGAGGATGGATGGGTGGAGGATGGATGGATGGAGGATGGGTGGATGGATGGACAGGTAGATAGGTGGGTGGGTGGATGAATATAGAGTGGTCTTGAGGAATCACAGATAACTTCAGATTGATATTGGCTTTGAATCCTTAGTCACGTTTCCTTAACTTCCCCATGCCTCATTTTCCCCATGCCTCATTTTCCGTATCTGTAAAGTACAGATAATAACTTCCTCATTGTGTTGTTATGGGGAATAAAAGAGATAAGACTCATGCAGTCCTTAGCACAGCGCCTGGCTTGTAGGGACCACTTGAGAAATATTAGCTATGGTTCATTGCTATTCAAGGGCAAATTGGATTTGAATTGTATCCCATCTTCTGGAAGGAGGGAGAAAAAGTTACGGAAGTAAGGAAGCAAAGCTGAATAGAAAATTATTTTCTCTTAAAATGCAGAGATGTTTTGCAGAAGCCAAGCCTATAATCCCATTAAGTGTTTCCTGGGAGAGGTGAAACCACTGCCCCATGGAACAGGCCGGGCTGTCTGTCCTCTTCTCTCCCTGCCTGCACCTCCTCTGCCCGGGATGTGACGAGGTCTGATTTTCAGTTTCAGTCTCTCCGGTTCCACCTGGGCTGGCAGATGTTCATTCGTTTCATCCAAGCCAGGTTGAGCTGCCCAGAGCTTTGCCGGGCCCTGACCTGGGGAGACACAGATGAGCGTCACCTTTGCCACCTTGAAGCCTTTCTCAGCTGGCATCCTGGGGGCCTTCCCACCCAGAACGACCTCTACCTGCACGGAGCAGAAATCACACTGTGCGGGGGATTGGTACAGTGTAAAGGAAATTGTCAGTCCCCTCTTTATGAGAAAGGCACTGACTGTTATTAATATCTAGCCCTCCACGGGTAAAGAACTTTCACCTGTGGCTGTGTCTCACAAACATCACACATTCTCAAGGCACTTTCTGCTGCATATTCACACCACGTATAAGGTCGCTTGCTTACTAATTTTTCTTTAAAACAACTCCCTTTCAATAAATTCATTTTAAAAGGAGAACTTAACACCAGTTCCAGAAATGAAAAGTTATGACATTGACAGTCTTGTTATGATTCTAATATGCATTACAATAAATTTGTGATGATTTAAATAGAAGTGTGTATTTACACATCCTGTAAAATCCTCTGGGATAGTTCTGGAATGTGCCAGCCTATTCCTTTCAGTCCTGAGGAACACCCCCACAATGGACAAATGACTGATTCCCTGTCACAGAGCCACTCAGTGAGAGTCGAAATTGGGGTGTGCCCTTCTGGACTCCTGTTACAGTGCTCCCTCCTGCTGTCACTGTCCCTGCGTTGGGAGCAGTTTAAGCCACTTACTCGAGGGAGATGAGCTGCTACCTTTCATGGCACAGACCTGCCTCAAGACACCACACACTAGAAATTGTCTCGTCACACAGGGATCAGTTAGAAGTGGCCCCTGGGATCCAATTAGGCAACATAATAGCAGTTGCTGCTCTCAGAATCATTAGCTTCTTAATCCTCCCAGTGAGAGGTAAAAAAAAAAGTGTGAACATTCAAATTGGGCTCACAGATTTAAGCAGCTTAAGCAAGGGCCCCGGGAGAATGGGAAGGTAATAATAGCTCCTGTGTGTTGAGCGGTTACTACTCGGCAGGTACCTGTCTGTGTAATCCTTGTAGCAGCCCTGGAGGGGGCGGGGGGTGGGGTATGAGATATTGTCCCATTTTGCGGATGTGGAAACCGAGGCTCAGAGAGAGGAAGTGATGGGCACAGGGTCACACAGTTGTATTGCAGCAGAGTCAGGATTTGAATTTGGGTTTAACCCCTTAAGCCCTCGTGCTTTCTTTGGAAAGAACGTGAAGTTAATAAATCACGAGACTTGGGTTGTAGATCTGGCCCGCAGCAGGTGCAGGATAAACGTTTGTTGACTGCATGAATGGATGAACCAAGTGCGTGTGTCCCTGGGCAAGTCACTTCACACATCACACACACACAATCACACTTAAGTGTGCCCTCACATACAGACCAGCTTTAGTTCCTCAGATTAAAACTGGACCTTATGCTTTGCTGATTTATATCCCCTTCTTGTCCCCAATATGCGTTTGAGCTTGTGACCTCTGGAATGGAGATTTATTTTTGAACCCAGAATTGTGATACTTTTTAATAATTTGCAGTTATTAGCCCGTGTTCTAAACTCTCGCTACTTCAAGTATGGTTTCCAGACCTGCCGCGTCGGCATCACCTGGGGCCTTCCTTGACCTACAGACTCCAGTCTGCATTTTAACAAGCCCCCAGGCGAATCCCGTGCACGGTAAGGTTCCAGGTGCACTGCTCCCTACAACCTGCTATCTTCCTTTGCGCTTTGTTGTAATTGTCATTAAGTACTTATTTGTGTAATTATTTGTTTGCCATCCTCTCCCCCACTAGACAGGAAGCCCCATAAGGGCTGGGACTCGACTGCTTTTGCTCACCAGCGTCACCCAGTTCCTAGCACATGCCCGGTACGTGGTAGGCAGCAAATGAATGACTGAATGAGCTCATCCAGATACTCTGGCTGTCTAGCTGATCCTACTCCCTTTGCCCATAGGGAGCTGGGGAGGAAGAGGAGGCTTAGGGTTTTAAATTCAGAAGTAAATGGAGGAGGCTCTGTGCCCCTCCCCACTTGAGATTAGCTGCCCAATTTTACGTGCTAGCCACCTCCTCCAGAGACGTGTGGAGAAGCCTGGAGCAAATAGATTTGGCCATGTTGAGTCAGGTCACTAAGGCGCTTTCACCACTGGCAACGTGGGTATAAGTTGCCGTCTGTGACTCCTCCATTGACCTGAACCTCGTCCATCATGGCAAGTTCGGTGGCACTGACAAGGTCGAGAACAGGAAGCTGTGGTCCATGGGAAGTCCATCTCCATCTACCAGGCACCAGATCCCACCACTTTGTGGGGGGGCGATGCTGCTGCTGAATATGGTGTCCTCACCGCGCTGAAGATGCTTGGAGCTCCCTTGAAGAGTGGAGTCAAAGGGTCATGTGCCCCTTGTGCTGATGGCCCCATGTTTGTGATGGAGTGACCGTGAGAAGTATGACCACACCCCAGATTGCCAGCACGCATGCCACCCCCCCCGCCTGCCACCAGCACCAGGGTCTGTGACACTTGGCATCATGGAGGGAGTCATGACCATAGCCACACCCTCTCTGCCCCTCTGGCGAGCTGTGGTACGATGGCCATGCTGTGTCCAGAGCATCTGCCTGCATCCAGTGGTGCTGCCAAGGCTATAGGGAAGATCATTCCTGAGTCACATGGCCATGTCTCCGCCCTCAATGTGTCTGTCTGGCTCTGACCTGCCATCTGGAGAAAGCTGTCAGACACAGTGGCATCTGAAAGTGGTGAAGTGGGCATCCGGGGGGATCACTGAAAGACGTCCTGGGCTGCACTGAGACCAGGGTGTCACCTGCCACTCCAGCAGTGCGGCCCACTCCTCCACCTTCCACAGTGGGGCTGGCGTTGCCCCCACAGCTGCTGTGTCAGGCCCACTTCCTGGTGTGCAGGCGATGTGCCGCTCCAACTGCAGGTGGGCCTCCTGGTCCTCGTGACCTCTGAGGACTAACAGCCCTGGACCATGGACCACAGCCAGAGCACCAGAGGGAGAGAGAGGCTCTGTGCTCCTGGGGAGCCCCTGCCCCACCCCTGCACCCAGAGCACTGAGCATCCACATCCTTGACACAACCCCCGACAGGATTCTCAATGAGGTCTGCACCGTCCTCACCAGGGAAACAGGAAGAAGGAAGGATGGGGGGGGAGGAAGGAGAATAATGGGAATAATGCACCCATTTTCCGGGTTCTCGATTCCCCCAAGTCTCCTAGATGAAAAAGTAAAATGTGATACCAGTTTTTTTAAAAAGATAAAAGCCTGTGTTTTTCAGAAGTCACACAATCTGCAAACAGAAAAGCTCTTTGACTGAAGGCCTGTTTCTCACTTGCACAGTCTTCCCGGGGGTGGCTGGGGTGGGAGAGGGAGACATTATAGGTCTGCACGGCAGGAGAGGGAGGCCTGCCCGTGTGGGAAGGCAGGTCGCTCAACAATTCAGAGGAACAGAGGAAGCCAGAGGGAGCGAGCATGCAAATCCTGGCACGGAGGGGCAGGACGCTGACTTCAGATTTATAGGATGCCAGGTTAATCGGAGCCCATAGGAATGTTTCCATAGATTTAGATTTTTATGAATATTTACATATTTATTAAAGGAAACATATTCCAAATGTTTAATTCAGTAACTTATGTATTACTAAACACACTCAAATCAAGGCCTTAACCAGTAATGAGACTGCGGCTACTTCACTCTCCAGGCCTGGAGGAGATGGAGAAGGGGATGCGGGAGGCCCTGCCTGGGGCTGCAAACCCCGAGTAGGGAGATGAGCATTGAGTGAGCACCTGCTGTGTGCCAGGGGCGTTAGACCACTGCCATTCCAAATTTCTTTTTAATCGGATGCATAGTAAGAAATATGTTTTTATACCGCCATTCAGCACACACACACACACACAAGACACACAGACAACGCATTCTTGTATTTATAACTGGAACAAAAGTTTCACACACTTGCTTCATACTGTGGACAATACATGCTGATATTGTCTGGTCTATTTTTTAGTTCTAGTCGTAGCTCTCTAAATGGACTTCGGGACTCCCACCCCCACCCCAGTGATTTGGGACTCGAGCAGAATTGACTCACCCTGGGGAAGGGACATGGGACTCAATAGCCCTTGGGCTCAAGTCCCAGTTCCCAGGCGCACAGGCTGTGTGGCTTGAGCAAACTGCCTGCCTCCTAGTGTTGTCGTGAGGACCGAATGAGATCATGCGTATAAGCAGTTAATGCGGGGCCTGGCACATAGGGACCCTCTCAGTGGATGCTAGCTGCTATGACAATGACGATTGTCATTGTGGGCTGCAGTGTCGTGGTGGAGAAGACAAACTCCAGAGCCAGAACACCTGGGTTCACATCACAGATCCACCCTTATACCTGTGTGGCCGTGGGTGAGTTACTTAAACTCTCTGTGCCTCCAGTTCTTCATCTGTAGCATGGGGATGAGACTAGAACCCCCCTTGTGGGGTGAGGATGAGGATTACGGTAGTTAACCCAGGTAACATATCTAGAAGAGAGCTTGGCTCGTAACAAGCGCTGGGTAAATGATGGGTATCATCATCATCGTCTTATTGAATCCTCATCCATCCTTGAGAGTTGAATACTTTTCTTCATTTCCCAGGAGGGAACTCTGAGGCCCAGAGACTCCAGGCAGCCTGCCCGCAGTCCCATTGCTCCGGAGTGGGAGTTGAGATTAAAGCTGGTCTGCTGAGCCGCCAGCTCAGGGGCAGAGAGAGGCTCGGAGCTCTGGGGCCTCGGGGCATTTCTCAGGAGGCACGAGGACACCCAGGCACTGCCCTCCATCCCAGGGAGTGTGACCTGGCAATCAGTAGACACGTTATCTCGTATCTGCCAGGGCTCCACGGTGAGGACGTTGAGTTGTGTTGTTAAAAATGACATAGCACAAAGTACTCCCCAGTGAACTGTCCATCTGTAAAATGATCCTCTCGCAAACGTCTCTCCCAGCTTAATTCTATCACCTTTTCATCACCCCCCGCATTATTGTCTCCCACCGGTGGTTGGATGCAGGGTGCCCGGGGGTACAGTGTATACAGGGATACAGTTGCATCAGGAGTTCGGGCCTCTTCCATCTCCTTGCTCCACACCCCAGCTGGAGCCTAGGAGATAATCCAAGATGTGCCCTCCCCTGAGTGCTGGGGCCAGCCCCACCTGAACCGCATGGACTGATTTTGGGAGAGAGGGGAGGAACATCAAGGTGATGTCACTGAAAGAAGGGAAAATGGGTGTTGGATAATCAAAGCCACCCAGTGCCGGCCATTCTGAGGTGCATGGGGTCGCCTTTGAGGCAGGGAAGGGAGTGGGTCCCCAGCTTGGGATTCAGGAAGCCTGGTTTAGGTGCCAGTAGTGCTGCTGTCCAGTCAGCTGACCTGGCTTAAGCACATCCGTTCTGTCCTTTGGCCTCAGTTTCTCCATCTGTAGAATGGGTGGGGGGGATGAATGCCCCTCTGATGTTTCAAGATGCTCTGTAGCATCTTTGCGTTATATGTATCCTTCGATTAGCACCTGGAGACAGAGTGCACCCAGAAAGGGTTTTCGAGAGGGAGAGGGCTCAGATTGCTCCTCAGATAAGCTTTTGTGGTTGAGAAAGTCCCTGGCAGGAACTCTCTAAGTTTCTTCCCACTTAAGCTGGCGTCTAAAGTCACAACTTCTGCGGAACATCGCTCTGACAGCTACAGCCCTTCAACTTTGTCTCTTCCCCTCCAGGCATCACGGCGTCGGCCCCTCCGAGTGCGTCCCAGCTGTTCGAGCGGTGAGTACCGGGCCTTGTCTCCTCAGCTCTCTCTTTCTCTTTCTTGGAGGGCAGGGGCTCTGGCGCCGGGACTCCCCGGAGAGGAGTCCCGGCGCCAGCACTTACTGGCTGAGCGACCTGGAGCAACTGACTCCACCTCCCTGGCCTCAGTCACCCACTCTGGAGAAGGGGGACAATCATGATGCCTGCCTATGAAATGAGCTAAAACATGTAAAAAGCGCTTACAGTGGGGCCTGGATCGGTGTTCTGAGAGTGTTGGCTGTGGTTTTCTTCTTTCTTCGTTTTTTCAGTCTTTCCTTCTCTTCTTTCCTCTGATGAGACTCTTTCTCAATCCCTCTCTCCCTCCCTTCTTCCCTGTCTCTCCCTCCTGTCTTCCTCCTGCCTTTCCTCTCTCTCCTCTTCTCCCTCCCTTCTTTCTCTCCCTCCCCCATCCTTCTCGCTCTACCTCTCTCCTCCCTCCTTCCGTGCTTTCTTCCTGCTCCAGCACTCACCCAACGCTCCTGGGTACCAAATCCCATACCAAGCCCTGGAGAGAAACGAGTGAGACACAGTCCCTGCCCTCCGAGAGCTTCCAATCTAGTGGGGGAGACAGACCAGTACATCAGAGATCGCAACACAGCAGGCGGCGTAAACGCTCCACCACAGGCGTGCTTGGGGGCAGTGGGAGCTCGGTGACGGGCGCGGCTGACCCGGGGTCCCCCCCGGTGCCTGCCCTCGGGGAGCTGCCAGTCTGCACCCTGCACATGAGAAGCCCTGGCTTTGGTCTGGCTGGACGGTCAGCGTGGCCTGGTCTGGATGATCAGCCCTTCCGTATCTGGACATGCTCCTCCCTTGACAACGCTGGGGAAGCTGTTTATGAGGAACACACTTTCTCTGCCTTCATTTCCCTCCAGATGTTTTGGGGGTTGTTAGTAGCAACTGAGGTCTGTTAAATCTACTAACTTCTCTTTAAGGCCTCAGGGTTAGAGAGCTCCTCTGTCCTTTCTCTGGGTTTTCATTTTAGCCCTGTTTAATCCGAGTGGGTTAAATTGGTTTTGATGGGAAGCAGGAGTTGATCATCTCAGATTTCCACCTTCTGCTTCTCAGGACAGGTGTAAATTGGGAACATTTTCAAATAAGGTTCTCCTCTCAGCACTAAGTCCCCACGTACCGGCTGCATTTCCAGGCACCCCACAGAGCGGGAATATTGACTGATAAAACGCCTTCCAGGGTTGCTTCTGGCATCTCCCACCCAAATGAGTTTTTTATGCATTTTGGAACAAGTTCCCTAACCCTTGATCACAGTAGTAGTCAAAAAGAAAGAGGGTATAAGAACATCTTTTTATGATTCCGTAAACTTTTGTGCCCGTCTCACACCTGCCATGAGGCTTCAGATGTACAAGGATCTCTGGGAAGGAAAAGGTTTTCACTAAAGTTATGTAACCACAATGCAATCAGACACAGATTTGGGAATCTCATTAACATTTGCTAGTAAACATGCCGGTTAGAATGGTTACATTTGGGGTGTCCAGTGCACGTGGGGCTGGTGTCCAGGTATGTAATCCGCAGGATGAGAGGGCAGTGGTTAAGGGCGTGGCCTCTGGAGCCAGGGTTCAAAGTCTGCACCAGCTATGTGCTTTCAGTGTGTTACTTAGTCTCTCTCTGCCTCAGTTTTCTTATATGTAGAATGGGGATGGGAACAGTCACTGCCTCCCAGGGTTGTCACATTGTTATGAGGATTAAATGAGCCAGTCCACCTAAAGTCATTAGGACAGTGCCTGGCATATAACAGGCACAAGAATTGTTAGCTGTTTTTGTCACAAAGTGAAGTGGGCCCTGTAGAAACTGTTGCAGACAGAGTGTGACAGTCTAAAGAGGTGGCCGCTACTCAAATCCAGCTGATGGCATTACACAGGAGGACGGGAAGACAGACGCAGGCTTGCCAAAGAGCTTGCTAGGAAAGAGAAGGGGGAAATAAGGAGCACGTGTGTGTATGTGTGTGTGTGTGAGAGAGAGAGAGAAACCACCTGGTTTTAAAATATTGGTGATGAATTCAAATAAAAATAAATAAATAACTGTACTGGCCAAAGAAATTCTATTCATAGACCCATGGACTGTGTGTGGCCCCTGGGCCACCATCTTGCCCTCTTCCTATTAGAAGAGCCCACCTTGACTTTATTTATCACTGCCTGCGAGGCTGGGTCAATTTCCGTCCTATAAATGAGAAGCAGCAAAGCTTCATGGTTCTAAGTGTGGGCTCTGGAGTCAGGCTCCTGAGGTCAAGTTCAAGATTTCCCACTTTCTAGCTGTGACTTCGGGTTTCTTCATCTCTAAAATGAGAGTTATAAAAGCCCCCACCCCAGAGAGCTGATGTGAGCGTCTGATGACGCTCATGCACACACTAGGCCTGAATGACACAATTCCCAGCCCGTGGTGAGAACACAGTGATCGGTGGCAGTCATTATATTACAGATGTCTTAGGTAAGTCGCCCTTCGAACCCCAGCCCCTCGTGGAACCTGTTATTCACCATGGAGTCAGAATCCATTTGAGTTCTTTGGTTGCAAGTAACAGAAATGGACTCCAGCTGATGTAAGCCCAAAAGGACTTTTTTGGGGAAGAGTTGGAGTAGCTCCCAATGTAAGTGAAAGTGGACTAATCCGGCCTCAAGAAAGACCAAGAACAGGATGGCTTCTGGGATCCAAGCAATAGGAAGGAACTAAAAGACAGGCTCTTCAGAGTGTGGGTGTTGGGGTGAGTTAGTCAGCCCAGGATTTAAATTCCCAGGGCGGAGTCTGATTGGCTGATCTTACATCACGTGCCCACCCCTTGGCCAAGAGCAGGGCATCTTGATTGACAGCCCTACCAAGCTGCAATCAATTGGGAAGGTGTCTAAATTAGGATAGATAGTCAGGGTGGGATAGGCTATCCTGCAGGAATCAATAAACCCTGATCTCATGGCTTAACACAACAAACAACAGAGGTTTGTTTCTCACTCACATAAAGTCCAATGTGGATCAGATGAGACTCTCCAGGGCAGCTCTCCTCCACAGGCTGACTCAGGATCCAGGATGTGTCCACGTTATGGCTCTGCCATCTCACCATGTGCCCTCCGCAGTTGCTGCCGAGAGAGGAGAGAGGGCAGGAGGGTCACAGAGGATGGTTTTATTGGCCAGACCTGGGAGTGGCTTATACCTTCTGTTGGGCAGACCCCAGTCCCATGGTGGAATCTGACGGCAAGGAAGACAGGAAATGTAATCTTCCTGGTGCCCAGGAAGAGGGAAAATGAAATGGGATTTGATGAACACGTAACTGGTCTCTGCCCTAAAAAGAGTAAATATCCAAAGGAAAATGGTGGTGTTGGTACCAAAATAACAGGGAAGGGATGCTTGGCTGTGCCTGGAGATTTCATCTTCTCTCCTTCCCTGCAGACCTTGCCCACGTATCCTGCCCAGTCAGCCTCCCTCTGCCATGGCAGCCTACGGCCAGACGCAGTACAGTGCGGGGATCCAGCAGGCTGCCCCCTACACGGCTTACCCACCTCCAGCACAAGCCTATGGAATCCCTTCTTACAGTGAGTACCAGACCAAGCCCTTGCTTTCCCCCAGGGTTCCCAACATCATGGTCTTTACTCTGCCCTATTGCCTCAGTTAAATGCAGCCAGCCTAATTTTGGATTAGAGATAGAGGAGAAGGGCAGACACTTTAAATATAGTTCAAATTCTGCAGACTGTATCAAGTCCTCTGTTAATTGCAAGAATAAGAAAGTTAACCCAAGCTGGCTTAGGGAAAACAGCAATTTAATGATTCACATACTGGGAAATCTAAGGGTACAACTGACGTCAGGTATGGCTGGATCCAGGTGCTCAAATGATATCAGGAGGAAGATGTCTCACTCCATCTTCAGATGTTTTCCTCTGAGTTGGCTTTACTCCCACACAGGTTCTTCCCATGTGGCAGCAAAGGTTGTGCCTATCAACTCTGGGTTTTCATCCTTTCAGCTCAGCACTCGCAGTGGAAGGGGCCCTGATCTTTCCCAGTAGTTCCACCGGAATCCCATGTTGACCTCATTGGCCCAAATTGGGTCACATGACAATGCTCAGAGCAAGGCAGGGAGGTGGGGGTGAGGGAGAGAAGGAGGCTGAAGCATATGGATTGTACATGAGGGAAGGATGGTTCTCTCGGAGGAAAACACAGTGGTGGCATAGAAGGAGGAGAAGTGGGTGCTGGGAAGGCAAAAACAACAGACCTGCAGACCTGGACTGTCAGAATCTTACCACTAAGAACTGGAGACTCGGTGAGCCCGGCCCGCCATCCACTGCTCACCTGTCCCTCTGCATTAGTCAGGGTTCTCAGAGAAATGGAACCAATGGGATGGATGTAGATTCATATATCTCTAGAGAGAGATTTATCATAGGATTGGCTCACCCTATTATGGAGGCTGAGACGTCCCAAGATCTGCAGTTGCCACGCTGGAGCCCAGGAGAGCCAATGGTGTCATTTCTGTCTGAGTCCAGAAGCCCGAGAACCAGGAGGGCTGATGGTGTGAGTTCCAGTCCAAGAGCTGGCAGTCCCAAGACCCAAGAAGAGCTGACTTTTCAGTTCAAGCCTGAAGGCAGGGAAAAAATCCGTGTCCCTGCTCAAGCACTGGGGCAGAGGAGTTTCTTCTTACTCAGCCTTGTTGTTCTATTCAGGTCTTCAACTGATTGAATGAGGCCCACCCACACTGGGGAGAGAAATCTGCTTTATGGAGTTTACAGATTTAAATGTTAATCTCATCCAGAAACACCCTCACAGACACACCTAGAATAACATTTGACCAAATGTCTGGGCACCCCGTGGCCCAGTCTAATCTAGTCAAGTTGGCACATAAAATTAACCATCACACAGCCTGTGGTTTTTATTCCTGCTATTTCCTCCCGTCTTAATTTATGTATCAACCAAAGCTCTTTTGGTAGCATATGACAAAAATCCAATGGTAATTAGATTAAGGAGATAAAGGAGTTCGTTGTAAATTTAGCTGAAAAATCTTAGGGGAGTGGCTTCAGGCAGGGTTGGATCCAGCTACTCAAACAATAATATCAGGAATTAGTCTCTGTGCTTCCCTTTGTGTGGGCTTTAATCTCAGGCAGTCTTTCCCACTGTGGTGCTGAAGACAGCCCTAGCAATTCCAGGCTCTAACTCCCCCCAAAAAGAGAGGCTCTCCTGTCTAGGACTTCCCGCACAGTCCCAGGGATTTCTCTGACTGGATTCCCATCGCCATCCCTGACCCAGACACTGGGGCAGAGAAGATGGAATGCTCTGGATGGCCACATTTGGCCACATATCCACCCGTGGAACCAGGGGTCAGATCAGGCTCACCCAAGAGAATTGCTCTGAATATGGAGAAAGTGTACATCGGGAGGGCTCCCCGAAGGAGGAGGGGCAGGCAGAAACCACAGACGGCCACGCAGACAGCTTTCCCATCCACCCACATCCATGGCGTCCGGGGAAGAGAATATAGGATGGGAGGCAGGAGACTTACCTTCCAGACCCAGCCGCCGCTGACTCCTCCAGCCTTCAGTTTCCTCAACTGGAAAATCAGTACGTTCCTCTCGTCTTCCCAGCTAGACGGTGTGGCTTGAGCGCAGAGACTGGACGTTGTGTTTTTTTCTCGCTCTTCTCCCTCCCTGCCTCTGCTTTGCTCTTTCATGGGTTCCCTCGTTCATTCAGCATGGGGTCACGTGCTGGGCGTGCAGGGGTCAACAAGCAGAGTGGGCCCTGTGTCTGCGGGGCTCACTGTCCAGAACAGAGGCTGACAAGTGAAAGCTGGTGGGTAATGTGGCCTTTGTGTTGTTTTTTAACCAGGAAAATATACTTGACATTTTTTAAATTAATTGCCAATTTTAAAACAAGAAAGGTTTACATAGGAATTCATGTTTCTAATGCCTTTAAAAAAACCAGATGATCGGGCAGCACTGGGCCCATATTTTTTGTGTCTGGAGGAGGTGGCTCTGAGTAGGGCTGTCCCCGTTAGCCTCGGTTCACCATGGTCCCCACCCAGCCCACATCACTTACTTGAATTATCTGCCTGTCCCCTGAAGACATTTGAGTTTGCAACCCTTGGCCTAGAGGGAGAAAAACTTTTTTTTACTTTTTAAAATGTTATGTTATTTCAAATTATCATGCATGATGTAAAGGAAGAGAAGAAGGTCGTGAGAGAGAACAGAACAAGGAAGAATTAATTTAGGTTCGAGTGCCAGGGAAGGCCTTTTAGATGAGCGGCTGATCCAGCTGAGAACCGAGGGATGGCCGTGTGCAAGCGCGGGAGGGGGAGCATCCCGGCAGAGGGCACCGCCTGTGGGAAGGCCCGGGGTGGGAAGGCATCTGGCAAGTCCAAGAAGCCGGTGGGGGCTGGAGCACAGTGGGGGAGGAGGTAGGAGAGGAGGGCGGAGCCTCAGAGGCCTGGGAAGGATTCTGGGTTTTATTCCAAGTGAAACAGAAACTCAATGGCAGGTTTATAAGCAGAGGGCTATATGATACAATCTGGGTGTTTTAAAGATGACTTTGGCTGCTCTGGGAGGTTGGGTTGGAGGGAAGCAGAGAAACGGGAAGGCCAGCTGGGAGGCTGATGAGGCCTGGAGTTGGGCGGTGGGGGGGGCCTCGGGCAGAGCAGTGGACGGACAGAAGCGGGCAGATTCAAGAGCAATTCGAGAGGTGGCGGTGACAAGTCCAGTGGGACGTCAGGTCAGGCTTGGTAATAGTCACTGTCGTTGAGTTGCTGCCACCCATGGTTCTCAGTGCTCCATGTCCAGTCACTCTTTTAATGCCCCCCAACCCTACAAGGAAGTTCTCATCATTATCCTCTTCTGAGGGATAAATCAGTGCAGGCTCAGAGAGGGTAAATAACTCGCCGAGGGTCACCGCAGCTGGTGGGCGGCAGAGGTTGAATGAACCCCGGGCAGCCTGGCCCTGGAGTCCAAGCCCTTACCCGCCGAGCTCCCCCGCCCGAGCGTGCATTCCGTAAATCCCAGGGGATTACCTATGACAGGCCTTGGCCAACAGGTGTGAGCATCTTTGCTAACTTTCTGTCCCTCCTGTGCTGGAAGACCTGTGACACAACCACCTATAAGTTACCCCGCCTGGCTGACAGCCAAGGAAAATGAAGCCCTTGTATTCTTGAGCATCAAAGAGAAAAGTAACCCTGTTCCCAGACAAAACATGGCATCGGGTGGAAGTTAATCTGGTTCAAAGTCATTTTACGGTCTTAGTTACTGTCAGCGAGTCTGTGCCCTGACCAGACAGCGTAGGTGGTAGGAGAGCACGTCCTGGGGTCGCACCCCACCTCTGCAGCTGGTCCTAAGACCCTGGGCAAGCCACCTCCGTTTCCTCGTTCGTACGGTGGGAGTGATACTAAGTCTGGCCTCCCCACAGTTGTGAGGATTAAATGAGATCATCTCCATCAGAGGTCAGCTACCTTTCTCTGTAAAGGGCCAGATAGTAAATATTTTCGGCTTTGTGGGCTATACGGTCTCTGTTGCAGCTGTTCAACTCTGCCACTGTAGCGTCAAAGCAGCCAGACGCTGTGTAAACAAATGGGTGTGTCTGTGTTCCAATAAAACTTTATTTACACAAACAGGCAGTGGCCAGGTTTGGCCCATGGACCTTACCCCTGATCTATATGAAGGGCTTAGCTCACAGGACCTGGCCCAAGGGACATGTTCGATCAATGCAGCAGAAGCCAGGCTGCCACACACCCCCGGAGTGTCCGTGTCACTGGATAATGACAGGTGGGATGAAAAGCCATTTCCCTCTCATATGCCTGTGCCCGAGCAAGCAGTGTTTGCTCATTGTCTGGACAAACCCTGTTGAATCTTGTTAGGAAATGTTTCTCATTGCTTCTTGGCAAGTAGTAGTATTACCCTTGTTTAAATAGCTGCAGGGAAGTAACACAATTGAGCAAACTAGAGGCAAGGAGGTTAGGAGTACTGAGCACTTTTTCCGTCAATTTATTATGCAACATTTAAGACATATGTAAAAACATAAAGAATAATAAAACAAACCGTCATGAAGTGACCATCCAACTTAAAAAATAAAGGGAGGTATAACTCCCTTTCTTCTCAGAGACACCCACACCCCTGCATTTGGTGTTTATCATTCCTCTGCATTTCTTTATGTAGAACAGGGGTCAGTAAACGTTTCCTGTGAAGAGCTTGATAGTAAATACTTTACAGAAAGTAGTGGTTTCTGTGTTGGTTTTGCAGACCATACAGTCTCTATTGCAACTACTCAAGCTGCCATTGTAGCTCGAGAAAAGCCACAGATAATACATAAATGAGTGGTATGTCTGTGTTTCAATAAAACTTTATTTACTAAAACGGGCAGCAGGTCACATTCGGCCCCTGGCCTTGGCTTGTCAACCCCTGATATAGAGAATTATTTTGGGTGTTTGTGGAATGAAGGAATGCCCAGAATATCTCCACTGTTGACACGCTTTCTGAAACGCACATGCTAACTTGAGTGTTTCCGTGAGCTAAGACAGCGAAACCTGTAGGTAGTTCCTGAGCATCTGTGGAGGCCTCATTCTCTTTGCCGCAGAGATATTCAGGAGAAATTCTTGGGGAGGAGGAGATCTGATGCAGTCAGACTGTCCCCAAATTCACCAGATTTCCTTTGAACTCAATCTCTTAGAGCAGTGCTTCTCGTCTAGGGTAAAAGACCAATTGTTTTCTGCTTTTTAATTTCTAGTTCATCATGGACTGATACTTTGGTAAAATGCAATAAAAATGAATTACTAGAAAAATGAAATTAAAGTAACAAAATAGGGGCCAGCCCAGTGGCGTAGTGGTTCAGTTGGCATGCTCTGCTTCGGCAGCCCAGGGGTTCGCAGGTTCGGATCCCGGCACGGACCTATGCACCACTTATCAGGCCATGCTGTGGTGGCGTCCCATATAAAGTAGAGGAAGATGGGCACGGATGTTAGCTCAGGGCCAGTCTTCCTCAGCAAAAAGCGCAGGATTGGCATAAACGTTAGCTTAGCGCTAATCTTCCTCACAAAAAATAAAAATAAAAAAATAACAAAACAAAATGATACAAAATAGAAGCCCAGAGATATGACCTTAGATGTCACAGCAATGTCACATTGCTATGAAATTTTCTAAATGCTTACTTCTCAGTTTCTGTACATTCTCGTCATGAGCTGGTGACTGGTCCGTGGACCACAATCTGGGCAGCCCTGATTTATAGGACTAAGCCTTTCATGTGCCTGCCATGTTCTCTCTCCTTTCTCACGAATTGGAATTTTATGATCCAACTTCAACAAACAAAAGGAGAGGTGAAAAACTTTATTTTGTTTTTTTCCATATTCGTCCGTTTGGCAGATGCTTACTGAGCACCTACTGTGTGCCCAGCAGTGAGCTAGGTGTGGGATGCCATAGTGGACAAGACAGGCCCTGCCCCCCTGGAGCTCTCAGCCTAAGGAGGGAACAGATGGTAAACGAATGAACTTGATGAGCGCCATGAAAAGACCTGGGTGCGATGGAGGGGGTCAGGGGAGGCCTTTCTGGAGAAACAACGTTTAAGCTGAGAAATTGAGGATGAGAAGGCACTAGCCTGGCAAAGAAGGGGGTGAGAGGTAGTGCATTCCAGGGCAGAGAGAACAGCATGTGCAAAGGCCCCGAGTCTAAATATGTATTCTTGCAGTTTTGTCTGCATCTATTTAAAATGAAAAATGTACGTACCCTTTGACTCAGCAATTCCACTTCTTGTAACCAACCTGGACAGACATTCTAACACTGCATGAGGAAGCACGTCCGTTCCATCATTGGCTGTGATAGCAGAAAAATTGGAGGGCCAGCCGCGTGCCCAAGTGATTAAAGTTCCACATACTCTGCTTTGGCGGCCTGGGTTCGTGGGTTCGGATCCCGGGCACAGACCTACACCACTCATCAGCTGTGCTGTGGAGGCGACCCACATCAAAATAGAGGAAGACTGGCACAGATGTTAGCCCAGGGAGAATCTTCCTCAGCAAAAAAAAAAAATTGGAATCCACCTAGAGTTCATCATCAGGAGACTGGCTGAATAAGCAGTGATATTCCATACTGTGGATTTCCATTCAGCCACTAAAATGAATGAGAGCGGCTGAGCACGCAGCTTGAGAAGGGTGAGCGAAGGAGCCTGAAGAAGCAGAGGTCTGAGGCGTGAGCAGAGCCCATGTAGGACCGGGTCACCCAGGGAGTTTAGATTTTACTCCAGGTGCACCAGGACGCAGACTGCACTGAGGAAACCATTAACCATTCCAGCAGACTGAGCAAAAGAAGATGCCATATATATATTGCTTGTTGCTCTCATCATTATTGTTACTGAAGTCTTGTACCATCTACTGCATAAAATCCTTTAACACCCATTATTGAGAGGCATCAAGAGAAGGAAAGGAAAACCTTGACTTCAGAGTTATCAGCTAATTGCGAGACCCTGATGCAGTGGCCTGGCTTTCTGAACCTCAGTTTCCACATCTTTAAGATGGAGAAAACGATATTGCCTGTTTTGTGGGATGGTTATGAGGGTGAAAGAGATGTGTGTTTGTAAGTACCTCATTCAGAGCCTTTTATGTTCATTCTTTCCCCTTCCTTCAACCTCCCCACAACCCTGCCGGCGGGATCAGCATCTTATCTCATAAGGGAGGAGACTTTCAAGCTGGGATAGAAGGAGAAACTGCCCAGGTCACCAAGTAATGAAGGAAACCATCCAGGACTCCAGCGCAGAACTCCCAACTCAAAATCCATCATTTTTACCCCACTAAGCATTCTCCCCATTTATGGGGGTGAATGGGGGAGAAGGAGGAAACCACAATTACAAAACCATCCCCAGAACTAGAAATGTTCTTTAAAGAAATGCAGATTTAAACAGTATTGAGATACTCTCTACACCTATAAGATAGACAGAGAGAAACAAAGTTTGATCTTGCATTTGATGCAGGGGGTGCATTTGATGCAGACTCTCACTCATCGTATGGAGAGTATGTCCATCTACCATCCACGGAGCGCCATTTAGCAACATCCATAAAAATCCAGGAGCTCTTGCCCTAGGACTCAGCAGTTCCAAATACTGGGATTGACAGAAAGGTATACACGTATACAAGGGGTTAAATGATGAGGCAGTCGCACAATGGAATACTGCACAGCCCTAAATACAGAATTAGAAAGAACTTTATAAGTTGATGGAGAATGATCATAATCACGTATTGTGAAGTAATAAAAGAAAAATGCAGAACAGTATTTAGAGAATACTCCAGTTTATTTTTTAAAAAGTGAAAAAATATATATATTACACATACATACATATTTATGCGTAAGTTTGTATTTGCACAGAACATGTCTGGAGGTAAACACAAGAAACTTGGTAACAGCGGTCGCCTGTGGGGAGGGAAGCTGGAGGTTTAGAGTCAAGGATGGAGGAGAGACTTTTCTCTATGCCTTTGGTCCTATTTGTATTTTCTACCGTGAGTTTATTATATTGTCAATAAAAATACAGTGTATGGGCTACTGATGGTTGATCAGCCCCCCTCCCTGAGTACAATCCCTTCTCCAGCCAGTTGCTTGTGGAATCAGTGCCTCTGCTTTGGGGAAGCATGTCAGATAAGCAGGACCCCCACAAGAAGGGTGGAGAGTGTGTCTTTGGGTTGAGTGGCATTATCTTTACAGAGGAAGGATGGTTCACTTAACACCTTCGCTCAAAATCCTGATGGACATTTAAGCCATGCATGGCTTTCCTCGGTGGAGTAGGGGGTCGTAAACTCGCTGCCCTCAGAGACAGGCAGAAGTATGGAGCTGACCGCATGTGCAAAATACAAGACCCTCTTGGCCTGCCTTTCCCTTCCCCACTTTTTTTTGTGTGTGTGTGAGGAAGATCAGCCCTGAGCTAACATCCATGCTAATCCTCCTCTTTTTGCTGAGGAAGACCCGCTCTGAGCTAACATCCATTGCCAGTCCTCCTCCTTTTTGTTTTTCCCCAAAGCCCCAGTAGATAGTTGTGTGTCATAGCTGCACATCCTTCTAGTTGCTGTATGTGGGACGTGGCCTCAGCGTGGCCGGAGAAGTGGTGTGTCGGTGCGCGCCCGGGATCCGAACCTGGGGCCGCCAGTAGCACAGCGCGCGCACTTAACCGCTAAGCCACGGGGCCGGCCCCTCCCTTCCCCACTTTTGATAGTGTCCTAGGATATTAAAAAAAAAAAAAAAAGTACAACAGCAATGAAAAATAGCATTGTAAAATGAGCCTCAGTGTCTCAGAGACCGTACGAGATCCGTGGTGACCTGGGAAACATACAAACTGAGGAGCCTATGGGGCAGCCTGTCGTCACGTGGGAACACAGGTTTGGTGTTGCCCGACCATCCCGTTGCTCAAGAGAGGCCATAAGTCCAGATTTTTGGTGAAATCTGCTGATTTTTAAACAAAAGCAGCTAATTCAGATTTTCCTTAAAAATATGCAGGCCCAGCAAACTATGTCTGTAGGCTCACTTCCGCTCCCAGTTTGCAGCTCCTGGTGTGGAAGCTGATAAAATCGCGTGCTGTCCTGTCTCCGTAGCTCTCCTGCAGGTGACAAGGAAGCATTCTAATCACGTGTCCCTGGTGCTCCTTTCTCCCCCTTCGAAGGCATCAAGACAGAAGACAGCTTGAACCATTCCCCCGGCCAGAGTGGATTCCTCAGCTATGGGTCCAGCTTCAGCACCCCAGCCACTGGACAGAGCCCGTACGCCTACCAGATGCACGGTCAGTGTGGCGCTGCGGCCCCTCCCCACCCGGCTCTAAGGCACCTCCTGAGTTGAGTGTCCAGTCATTCATTCATTTATTCAGCAGATTTATTGAGCACCTACTGTGTGCCAGGATCTATCTTGAGTAGTGGAGTTACAGCGGTGGACAGAATAGATATGAGATCTGCCCTTATGGCAGTTACGTGGCGGGAGGGAGAGATTGACAGTCAACAAGGCAACAAATAAACTGGCTAATTCTGGAAGGGGTTGAGTGCAGTGGAGCCACCAACGGTGGTGTTTGGATAGCGAGTGATGAACAGTTGCCGGGTCAGGGGAGGTGGGATATGCAACTTGAGCCATCAGGGAAGACTCTTTGAAGAGATGACATTGGACAGAGACCTAAAGGGTGAGGCAGAGTCAGCCATGGCAGACCTGGGGGAAGAGCATTCCAGGCGGAGGGAACAGCCAGTGCAAAAGCTGTGTGGAGGGAAACGTCTTGATGTGTTTGAGGACAGAATGAAGGCCAGCAAGGCTGGAGCAGAGTCGGGGGATGGAGGAGAGAGTCTTGGAGAGAGAGCAGGGCCGAATCATGCAGGCCTTGAGGGCTGAGGGGGAGTTGGCTTTGATGCTAAGTGTGATGGGCCAGGCAAGTCCATTGTAGAGTCAGAGAAGTGCCGGGTGGTGGGAATATTAGGCAGGCAGGTAAAGGAGCTCTTATTCCAGGCAGGAGGTTCAGGGCTCTGCATCCCCGGAGGGTGGCCTTAAAAAGGGAAGAAAGAACTCCAGTGTGTAGCTCCCACCCCACAAACACTGAGAGACTGGCGTGCTGGATTCTCCCGTGCCCACTCCACTCTTGCACCATCCAATGGCCCCTTCTCTTCTGCGGCGCCACTGGGAGCATTTTGGGGCTGATGCATGGAGCAGAGGGCTGGCGGCAGTCATTTGGGGGATCCTCATACTGGTAACGAGGACCACCAAGGGTCTGAGAAGTAAAATGCAAAAATGAAGGGCTAATCACAAGGTGGGGGGCTAATGAGTGATTGTACTTTTCTTTAAAAAAACTATTTGCAAAAAGATATCTTTTTTTAAGATAAATTAAAATTATTAAATTAATTTATTAATTTAAATTTTTTTATTAAATTAAAACTAAAAATTAATTTTTAATTTAAAATATATCACTTCATCTTTTTAATGAAGAGAACAATAAAAATGGATGTCAAGGGCAGCCTTTCAGGAAAAAAACACTGTGAAGGGACAGAAAATGATCTTAGGAGGGTGTAAGAGAAAGGGGGTGATGAGCATTAGTGCCCAGCCCTTGGACTAGCTTCCATGTAAAGGTCTGCATCAGAATCTGTTGGTGACAGCATCAGCTGACATTGACCAAACACTCGTCGCCTGCCATGTGGTGTTGCTGGATCTTGTACAATCTTCATGATGCTTCAAAGCATTGGTGCTGGTATTATGCCCATTTTACAGAAGGGGAAAGTGAGGCATAGAGGGAATGACTGATCTGCCCAACATCAGGGCAAAGGATTTAGATTTTACTGCAATGAAGTGGACTGAGTGGAGTCTCTTGGGGGTCTGGTAAAACCCCAACCCCCAGCCTCACCCAAAGCCCACACTCTTAGCCATGGTACTCTCCTGCCTCCTCTGCCTCTGCTATCACCTCTCTCTCCCCACAGTGGCCTCTGAGTTCCACTAAAGGGTGTAAGCTGCCAGGACCCACCTCCAAGTGGGGAGTGAATTATGGTACCAAGCCCAATAATAAAGACTTTGAAGACGCTGAACTTGAAATTGCTTTTGGGTCAATCTCAAGCCAGTTTTTTCCAGCTCTGCCAATAGAAACAGATTTTACTGCCTCAGAGCCTCCAAGGCTACAGAGGTTGAACAGCAAACACAGTCCACCCTCCCCCATTCTGACACAAGCCGCCCCCGCATAATAAGTGAGGTGAGTTATGTAGGAGTGGCTCCCCATCCATTCATTCATTCGTTGTGTATTATTGAGCACAAGCTCTATGCCTGGCACCCTTTTGGGCTCTGAGGGCACAGCAGTCATCAGAGATAATTAATTCCCTCATAAAGAGAGATGGACAACAATCGATTAACAAATAAACAGATGGTTACAGATTTTGATAAAGCTTGTGAAGGACAAAAACAGGGCGGTGAGGGCAGTGGTGATGGACATTACCCACGTGGGTAGGGAGACCCGAGGGATGAAAAGGAGCTGACCATGTGGGCAGCTGGGGACAGGGCAGCCCAGGCAGAGGAAACAACAAGAGCCAAGGCCCAGAGGCAGGAGAAGGGCTCCAACAGAGACCCATGAATCTGGGTGTAGCGAGGAGTGGAGACGAGATTGGGAAGTGATGCAGGAGCCCTTCCTGGACCAAGATGTGGAGAATAACGTTATTTCTTCTCTGGTCCTGACAGCAACCACCTGAGGTGGGTACCAAGCCTGCTTTTTACAGATGATAAAAGTGAAGCTCAGAGAGGGGGGGTGACTTGCCCAAGATCACAGAGCCATGGTGTTCAGAGCTGGGATTCAGACTTAGGTTTCTAGAATACCAGAGCCTGCACTGACCTTCAAGTGCCATTTCCTGGACTCTTTCAGGACTCCTAAGCTCTGCGTATATGCCATTCCCCTTAATCCTCCCAATAGCCCTGTGATGGAGGCTCTAGCATTACCCCATCCTACAGGTGGAGACACCGAGGCACGCAGTGGTCAAGTGACTTGCCCAAGGTCACATGGCTGGAGCAGTGGGATCTGAAGCCAGGCAGTTGCACTCCAGAGTCCGGGCAGGTACCCCACACCATCCTGCCCTCCACACTCTATCTAGAAGACCATTCTCCGTGGGTGAGCCCTGGCCTAGACGCGCCCCCTCACCCCAGTCCCCACCAGCCCCTCACAAATAGAGAAACATCCCCTGCTCTCTTCCCACCCGCCCACGGGAATAATTCAGGTTATTTTCTTATCGTCCTCGTGGCCCCAATGCCAGAAGGGCTACAGCAGCAGCTGGACTTTGTCCCAATTAACTGCCTTCCGTCGAATGCTAGTGGCCGTAAACTGCTCTTGAGACAGCCCAGGCACTTTGCAGGCCTGACATAGTCCTCCTTAAGTATTTTTTTCAAACACAAACACGTAGAGCCCTCGCACACCGTGCCCATGTGCTTCCTATTAACTTTTTTTTTTTCAAGTTGCTCCAGAGGAGAAATAAACTCTCAGACGACTCTCTGTGCGTCTCAGAAGGGAAGGCGTGGGTCGGGCTTAGTTTTTTAAGGGGAGAAGAAATGAAGAGGGAGATTGAGACTGGTTGAGCTTTAGGCCTGAAAGCACTGAGCTGGAGGGAGATTGGTCCACGTTTAGAAGCTGGAATGACTCTTTTCTCCTTTCTAAGAATTAAAATCATAATTTTGTAGAGGCAAAAAAGAACTTCAGTAGGGACCACCCCATCATTTTACAGATGAGTAAACTGAGGCACAGCAGCGGAGTGGCTGGTGTATGGTCACAGAGCAAGCGTTAGATCAGCCGGGATGCCTCCCCCTAGGTCTTTTACCTGATCTCAGAAACTTCAGCAGAGCCATGGCCCCTCGACCCCGAGTTTGAGATCTGTGTCTGTTCAGATAACACCTGCCCTCCACCGAGTATACAATAAACGTAAAAGAGAAAAGTTCACAGCCCTCCTTCAGCCTTTGCATGGTTGTTTATTTTCTTTTTTCAAGTTCATCCAGGGGTTTTTATAGCTGAAATGTATTTCTTATGGGTTTGATTTTTTTGTTTCTTTTTTGGCTTCTCCCGCTAAAACACTGCGGTTCACAGAAATGACCACAAAGATTAAAAAGAGAAGAAAAAACACCTTGAGAACGTGTTGTAAGAACTCACTGGTGCCGTGGAGGGGTTGAGAGCCCTGGACCTGGGCCATAGGCGATCCTGGATGTGTCCCCCACCCCACAACATGACTTGGTTTCCTCATCGGTAGAACTGGCATCACAGCAAGAGATATGACCTCATGGGACTATTGTGGGGACTAAATGGAATGATTCATCAGATGAGGTCCAGAAAGACAGGGCGTCCTTTTTATTATTCCTCTTATTCCTTTGGTAACGTAGTAGTTTAAAGCAGTAACTCTGAAGTCAGGCTGAGTTAACTTCCCAGTCCTGCAGTCTACCCGTGTGTGACCTTGAGCCGAGTTACTTCTTAGTACCTCGGTTTCTTCCCCTGTAAGATGGGGACATCAAGTGTACCTGTGCAGGGGGTGCAACGATCACTGAATGAGTTAAGGTGTGTGAAGGATTTAGCACAGCCCCTGGCACAGACTGAGTGCTCTACAAATGTTACCTGTCATTATTGTCATCCTAATTTCAGGTTCAGGGTCTGTGTTCTTCCCAAATCCACTTCTCTTTCCTGAACTCTCAGTGCTAGTAAGTAGTCGTGGTAAGAGGAAAGAAGAAGACTCATTTTAGACTGTTGAGCCATCCACACCAGCATAAAGCCCCCGTCTGGTGAACTCTGCATTATAGGGGGCCTTAAAAACAGTGGGAGCCCTCTTCAGTGGGAATTCCTTTTGTATTTACCAAAGGCCAGGGAATGTTAATACTGAAGCTCAGAACCCAACATGAGCCATTCAGGAGCAACGTGGAAACATGTTATTCGAGGATGTGTAAAAAAATTAAAAGTCCAGCCAAAACGTTTGGAAGCCGGTGATCTCAGCCCGAGACCTCCAGGGTTGGTTTGTGTTGGATTTATGAGATCTAGCACCATCTCTGGCACCAGTGTGCTGGGTGACTTTGGACAAGTCACTGAACTTTCATGATCTGTGTTTCACAGCTCTAGCGCTCACAGATGCTCATTGAACATAGAAAGAGGTTGGAGAATGTCACGGTCAAATACATTTGACAAATGGCGTGTAGCACAAAGTTCAACAGATGTCTTCACTGCAGGATTTTTCAGAGTCTTTGCAGACTTATGTACCTTGTGACTCTCCAAGAACAGAATCCAGTAGTCAGTTTTCCCAGGTAGATGTGAACAGGGACCCTCTCTCCAAACCAATGTTCTGTGCTCACTGGGATGCCTTGGTTGT